TGATTGCACTCGGCAAACGTGAAAACTTGGTGCATGCTGAGAAATATCAAGCAAAATATCCGTGATGGACACCGTGAGAATAAGTTGCGGCGCTTGCCAAAGAAACGCGGCTCATTCTACGTGCCTGCAGAAGACAAATTGGCTTTTGTGATCTGTATCCGCAGTATCAACAAAGTTGCACCAAAAGTGCGTAAAGTTTTACTGTTGTTCCGTTTTCGCCACATTAACTACGGTTTGTTCATCAAATTGAACCATTAATACGCTACGCATTGCCGAACCCTATATCACATGGGGTTATCAAAATCTTAAATCAATTCGTGAATTGATCAACAAACGTGGAATTGTCAAGCACAACCATCAACGTGTCCTAATCTCTGACAACTTTGTGATCGAACGCAAATTGCGCAAAGAGCACGATATTCAGTGCGTTGAATATCGGCGCACGAAATATTCACTGTTGGATTCCCCTTCACGAAAGCCTCCAACTTCCTGTGGCCATTCAATCTCAACACCAACCGGTGGCTGACGCAAGAAGGAGAATCACTACGCTGAGGTTGGTGATTTCGGTAACCGTGAAGATAAGATCAACAAACTCCTGCGCAAGATAGTTCAAAGAAATTTTTTGCTGTACAAGGTGGAGTATTTTTATTTCAAAAATTTATAATAAATAAAAATAGAAAATGTTTTTTTTTAACTTTCTGAAGGTATAAACCGCAAATACACCAAATGGAAAGCAGCTTATCGGGCAGGTTCTGCAATTCACTTCCGAGTGAATCTCAACCCCTACCAACTTGAATTCAAAGCGCACTTGCCTCAAATTCACTCGGAAGTGAATTGCAGAACCTGCCGGTATATTCACAATTCTTTGAATAATGTCGAAATTCATTGCCGTTTCTAAAGGCCATTTCAAAAGGCTTCAATCCACAAATTTAATTATTTGTTTTGGGTTTTCAGCTCATTAATGATGCACCCAGGGTTGCAATTACCGTCTATGAAAATATTTCATGATGCGTTCCAAAACTAGCTCCGAGCGACTAAAAGTTGGTTATGCTTAAGTGAAATAGTTTTCTATTAAATATTTATTTCTGATCAATATTAATGTATGAAATGAAGTAAATAAAAATCTACGAATACATTTCTTGAATATTTTGTCATAGAGCCATGATCAAATACAGACATAACTTTGTCGGGCGTTGGTTTTGACGTATATAGAATTAATGCGTGAGAGAGAGATAAAATACAAGCTCAACGCGGCAATTTAGGTATACTTGTATGTATATACCTGTTACTCATCTGGCATATACTCGAACTGCGAAAATAATGACAATTATAATTTATTTAGATGCATATTTTAGCTAAATGTTATATCGTCGCCTGGATAAAAGATTGTTACAAGTTACTTTCGGTAACTCGCGATTGAAGTTTGGAATGCAATTTCTCAGAAATACGACTACAGATTTTCTCGAAAGAGTCTGAGGATGCTATGTACTAGTTCACGAGATCCTTTAGTTATCTTATTTTTTTAATTTAGTGTCAACCATTTATGAGTTTAATAAAATTTTGTCGTATACGACATTTGTCAAAAAATTTGCAATCAGTTTTAATTATATACGCCAAAATGAGATAACAATTTTTTATAAATTAACGATACTTTTACTAATCAGCCTAATCGTGAGTTTCGCCCGAACAAAATTTCGCCTACAATTTTTTCATCCGCCTGTAGTGAATACACGCAAACGAAAAGTGAAAAAGTGACCCGGTTCTAGAAAATGAAACTCATGATAAGGCTGAATATGTCGGAAACTAAAGAAGAACAGATAACTCTATTTGTAATATCTTGCCTTTGTCAATTACTCGGAAACTAAAGAAGATATCCAAAAACCAGTTAACAAAAAATCGAAATATCTTACTTTAAAATATATAACTGCATCTATAACTACAAATTGTCAAAATGACGCTTCCGACAATTTTCCATCCAAGCGACGATATTTGAATGTAGCTCGCATAATTTCAGCCTGTATGTAAATGTTCGGGGAAAAAATTAAAAAGTATATTCATCTGCTGAAAAGATATTTTCGGAGATTCACATTTTCTTTAANTCTGGCATATACTCGAACTACGAAAATAATGACAATTATAATTTATTTAGATGCATATTTTAGTTAAATGTTATATCGTCGCCTGGATAAAAGATTGTTACAAGTTACTTTCGGTAACTCGCGATTGAAGTTTGGAATGCAATTTCTCAGAAATACGACTACAGATTTTCTCGAAAGAGTCTGAGGATGCTATGTACTAGTTCACGAGATCCTTTAGTTATCTTATTTTTTTAATTTAGTGTCAACCATTTATGAGTTTAATAAAATTTTGTCGTATACGACATTTGTCAAAAAATTTGCAATCAGTTTTAATTATATACGCCAAAATGAGATAACAATTTTTTATAAATTAACGATACTTTTACTAATCAGCCTAATCGTGAGTTTCGCCCGAACAAAATTTCGCCTACAATTTTTTCATCCGCCTGTAGTGAATACACGCAAACGAAAAGTGAAAAAGTGACCCGGTTCTAGAAAATGAAACTCATGATAAGGCTGAATATGTCGGAAACTAAAGAAGAACAGATAACTCTATTTGTAATATCTTGCCTTTGTCAATTACTCGGAAACTAAAGAAGATATCCAAAAACCAGTTAACAAAAAATCGAAATATCTTACTTTAAAATATATAACTGCATCTATAACTACAAATTGTCAAAATGACGCTTCCGGCAATTTTCCATCCAAGCGACGATATTTGAATGTTACTCGCATAATTTCAGCCTGTATGTAAATTTTCGGGGAAAAAGTTAAAAAGTATATTCATCTGCTGAAAAGATATTTTCGCAGATTTACATTTTGTTTAAAGTAAATCTATAATCACTATCTCCAATTCCATGTAAATAAATCTCTCCAGTCTTAAATAATTTTCACCACATTNCTGGGCTTGTAAATCTGGCAGGTAGTACACTGTCGGACATACCTCTTTATGTCCCTGAACATTCCGGGCCAGTAGTAACGTGCCGTCGCTCTCGTTATCGTCTTGCGGATGCCCATATGTCCTGCGCTTGGACTATCGTGAACTTCCTTCAGTACTCTCTCACGTAGTGGCGCTGCCACGCATAGCTTCCACGGTATCGTGTCTTCATCATCCATCTGGACTGCGATGTGTCGATACAGTTCGTTGTTTACAATTGTGTAGTCCGGGAACTTTTCTGGTGTCCTCTTCACCTCTGCCATTTTCTCGGTCAGACACCNTCCTGCGCTTGGACTATCGTGAACTTCCTTCAGTACTCTCTCACGTAGTGGCGCTGCCACGCATAGCTTCCACGGTATCGTGTCTTCATCATCCATCTGGACTGCGATGTGTCGATACAGTTCGTTGTTTACAATTGTGTAGTCCGGGAACTTTGCTGGTGTCCTCTTCACCTCTGCCATTTTCTCGGTCAGCCACTTGCAGGCCTTTGCCTCTTTATCCTGCACTAATATGTTGAGCTGTACGTCTTGGGGTTGTCGTGACAGTGCATCGGCAACGACGTTCAACTTAGGTTTGCGGTACTTTACATCGAATGTGTGTTGCTGGAGTTCTAGTGTCCATCTTGCAATGGNGCACTAATATGTTGAGCTGTACGTCTTGGGGTTGTCGTGACAGTGCATCGGCAACGACGTTCAACTTACCCTTGCGGTACTTTACATCGAATGTGTGTTGCTGGAGCTCTAGTGCCCATCTTGCAATGCGTCCTGAGGGACTCTCGATCGCATTCAGCCATTTCAAGGACAGGTGGTCGGTGATAACCGTGAATGCGTAACCCTCCAGGTACGGTCTCATTTTCCGTATAGCCCACACAATGGCCACACACTCCTTTTCAATCGCCGAGTAGTTTTGCTCTGTCTTGTTCAANGACTCTCGATCGCATTCAGCCATTTCAAGGACAGGTGGTCGGTGATAACCGTGAATGCGTAACCCTCCAGGTACGGTCTCATTTTCCGTATAGCCCACACAATGGCCAGACACTCCTTTTCAGTCGCCGAGTAGTTTTGCTCTGCCTTATTCAGCCGTCGACTAGCGTAGGCTATGACTCGCTCTGCGCCATCTAACTCCTGTGTCAGTACTGCACCTAGTCCAAAATCGCTGGCATCGGTTTGTAGCGTGAAGTGCTAGGAAAAATCTGGACAGGCTAATACCGGTGCTTCANGTCCAAAATCGCTGGCATCGGTTTGTAGCGTGAAGTGCTGGGAAAATTCTGGACAGGCTAATACCGGTGCTTCCGTTAGTGCGCACCTTAATTTTTCAAAGGCCGTCTGCTGTTCATTGCCCCATTTCCATCGGCTTCCTTTCTTCAGTAATGACGTCAGAGGGTGTGCAATGTGCGAAAAATCCGGAACAAATCGCCGATACCATGACGCTACGCCCAGAAAGCGCCGTAATTCACGTGTGTTTGTTGGCGGTGTCAATTCTTTAATCGCCGCAATCTTGTCACGGTCGGTGTGAATCCCTTCTTTGCTCACCACATGACCCAGGTATTTCAAACTCTTTTGGAAAAACTCACACTTCTCTGGGTTGATCTTGAGGTTCACCCGCCGCAATCGTCAAAACACTTCTTTCAGGTGTTCCATGTGTTGGTCTAGCGTCGCACTCGTGATGATAATATCGTCCAGATAAGCATGCGGTTCCAATTCTGGTCCGATGACTTTGTACAGCGCCCGTTGAAACGTCGCAGGCGCTGAATGTAGCCCGAACGGCATTACGCGGTACTGGNGTAGCCCGAACGGCATTACGCGCCACTGAAACAGACCGCGTCCTGGCACAGTGAACGCAGTATACTCCTTACTACTCTCTTCCATCGGGATTTGCCAATACCCATTCTTCAAGTCCAGGCTGCTAATGAATTTAGCGCTTCTCAGTCGATCCAAAATGTGTTGGATTCGTGGGAGTGGGAACGCATCCGGTACCGAGCGCGCTTAAAGTTGCCGATAGTCCACGCAAAGTCTCCACTCTCCGTTTTTCTTCTTTACGAGCACGATTGGCGCGCTGTGTGGGCCATGCGAGGGCTCGATGCACTGCTTCTCTATTAATTCGTCGACCTCCCTGTTTATTACCTCCTGCATTTTCGGGTTTTTGGGAAAGTAGCGCTGTTTTATGGGTCGATCATCTCGCATTATAATATTATGGGCGGCGATGTTTGTCGTCCCCGTTATCTTCTCGAATGCGAGCAACTCCTTCTTTAAGAAATTTTCGACTTCCGTCGTATCCTCGAGGGATGTGGGTTGTTCATTTGCGACCTTTTCGCCTTCCTCAGCTCTCTCTACTTCGCGCACTTCTAACATCGTGGTACATGCANTCGTATCCTCGGTGGATGTGGGTTGTTCATTTGCAGCCTTTTCGCCTTCCTCAGCTCTCTCTACTTCGCGCACCTCTAACATCGTGGTACATGCAGCCTTCGTTCGAATATCGTCCTCTGCCTTCATCGTCAATGTCTGCCCTCCGCAGCTCACTGTTGTGTTGGCCTTAGCCAGGTAGTCAGTCCCAAGGACCTTGTCATCGCCAAGCCTGGTAGGACGAGTAACTCGCTCTTATGTTCTTGATCGCTCACCTTTACCACCGCCTCTATCGCTTCTGTGACCGCTATTGGTCTGCCATCTCCCATCACCACTCTTTTGTTCATTCTTCGCGACCGCTCGATTCCCAGGGTGTTCGCTGCTCTAATGCTTATAAAACTTCTTGTTGCTCCTGTATCAACCGCCGCTATTACTGTTCTACCATCCACTGTTGCTCTGGCGATTACTCGCCCTTGCGCTTGCTTAAGAATTGGTGTTACATTGACTGAGGTTGCATTACTGGAGACCCCACTCTTCGTCGCGAATGGGGTCCTTGGCCGGTTCCCTGTTGTCCGCGGCAACAGTCTGATGTTCAAATGTTCCCCCGACCACACGTCCAACAGAATTGCTGGATATTGTTGCGACATTCGTAGGCGAAATGTCCGTCTTCGCCGCATCGTCTGCACGCCGTTCGTGGGTTTACTCTGCTAGATTCTTCGCTTTTACGTTGTTGTCCCGTAGGTGACGCATAATAGCCTCCATCTTGCAGTCTCGCTGGCATCGTATACCTCTCTCTTCTCTGCTCCTCTCGGATAGTGTAGTTGCGCTCTTCATTTCGTCTCGGGGTGCGCGGGGCAATGCTCGTTGCGACTCCTTCTCAGCTACAATATTCTCGTAGTCTTCTGCCAGACTTACCAACTCTCCAAGAGTATTGAACTCGGTTTGTTTAATGTACAGGTATTCGCTTCGGCAGTTCTTATAGATGCGTCGAAGCTTTTGTGCCTCCGTATAGTCAGAATGACGCATTAGATCTGTAACGCTAGTACATAGTCTTTAAATGCCTCTCTGGGCCGTTGAACACTCTACCATATCTCATCATCGAGTCTTTCGAAATACCGGGAATTCAAGAAGAACTTCAGGAAATCTCGCTTACATGTCTCCCAGTCTCTTCAGTGGCCGTGATTGTTTCGTAACCAAACGAAGGCTCTATCCTTAAATAACNGAAGAACTTCAGGAAATCTCGCTTACACGTCTCCCAGTCTCTCCAGTGGCCGTGATTGTTTCGTAACCAGACGAGGGCTCTATCCTTAAATAACTCGGGTAATGCTCGTGGAAGTGCGTCTCTTTCTATCTCGTACCCGTCGGCTAATTCTTCGACGCGTTCGATGAAACCCAGCGGGTCCTTGCTGCCATCGTATTTGATGCCCCATTTGCGTACGCGGTCCATGATAGTTGGAGCTGATCGTTGTGAGTCGACGTATACTGGATACATGGGCACGTTCGGGGTTCCTCTTGCTCTGTCGTCGTTGATGGGTTGTTGTGTAGACGGTAGTAGTAGCACTTCGGGTCTCTTCGGTGTTGGTGCGTTCCCCGCGCTTGTAGATCTCGTATGCTTAAGCGCTAAATCAGTGACCCGATCGCGATGGTTCTCAGTCTCCCCTTCCTCTTGTACAAATGTAGAGAAGCGTTTACGCAGCTCCTCGACGGTCCCCGAATAGTCAAGGCCGAACTCCGTCGTATAGGTCACAAGCTACTCTTTATTGAAGTAGTACACCCACTTTGTTTTCACCATTTTTTTTTTATTATTTTCTTATTTTTTTTTATTGTAATCTTTTTGGTTTATGTTCCTTTGTTTGACGTTACTTTCTCATTGGTAAAGAATGTTTGATTACTTTCACAGTTCTTAATTTCTGGGCTTTACCCTGTGTCTCTATCACTTTAACGGTGTCTTTGCACTCTTGCTTGGTAGTTTTCCAAATCACTTCACTTCAATTCACTTTTGTTATCTGTGGGTTCTCCTCCTAGGCCCTTACTGCTTCCTTTATTTATAAGGGCCCCACGTTGGGCGCCAATTGTAACGAACCCGGTTTATCCGGTCTATAGCTGGGCTGTGGCTCTGTCGGATGTTGGGTTCCCTTATCCAAACGTTAAAATAAATACGCGAATGATTCTTATAGTGACGCTTCTTTATTTCGCTATTTAGTTGACAGCATTTGCACGTCACACCAATATAACTATTTCCTTGGCTGCGTTTCCACGTCACACCATATAAGTACTACTTGGCGGCGTTTCCACGTCACACCATATAAGTACTACTTGGCAGCGTTTTCACGTCACTACCTACTAAGCAACTAAGTCTTCACAATCGTTGTTTAGCCGTTCCAATCTGCGTTTGCACGATCGACTGGAGTAAACGACTACTCTACCAGAAGTGATCTCACATTACATTTGCTGCTCCATTTATACTGTCCTGCACGCAGGCAGACAGTTATCCTAACAACATTGTTGCTAATATTTTCTTTACTTCCTTTTACTTGTTCATACCTAAGTACGTCTGTATTTACTTCAAATTGTAATATGTACATATGTATTTCGATTTCACGTATGTAAATAATTAACTATTCATTTAATATGTATAAATAAATCCAACAATTATATCTATATATATATATATATGTATTTAACAATTCAAAATATAATTCAGTTCAATAGGGACTTGGGGTCTTCACACATTATATAGTTATAATTATATTTTTAATTTCTTAATTACTTTTACATGCGCAATTTTAAAATTTTTCATTCAACGAAACCCTAAATAAAAAGTGATAATCTAGTACTTAAATTTGACAGATTGATTTGCTCCTGAATCGAATTGCAGTCTGAACATTCCCAGCAAAAGATCGGCAATCGCTTTTAGTGCTAACGTGTTCTAGAAGGCATAGCGTTATAATGCCTTCGAATTTTTATACTTCTTTTAGGCATTGCCGGTAATGCAAAGTAGAATGTCCTACAATATTTTATTTGTTTCGCTTCTTTGTTTTATTTCGGGCAATGCAAAGTAGAATGTCCTATAATAACCTTTCATGAGCATGAAATGGTATTATAACTTTGGTCCGATGTTTGTAAGTACCAGAATAAGATGAGATAGACCCATCAAAATGTATACTTCAATGATCAGAACATCGAGCTGAGTCGATTTGGCCATGTCCGTCTGTCCGTCTGTATGTCTGTCTGTCTGTCTGTCTGTCTGTCTGTCTGTCCTTCTGTTTGTATGCAATCTAGTCTCTCAGTTTTCGAGATATCCGAATGAAATTTGGTAGGTGGGTCTATTTTTATAATGTATTAATCATTTGTCGGATCTGGAAGAATCGGACCACTATAAGTATAGCTGCCATACAACTGATGGTTCAGATATGAGATTTTTCGTTATAACTTCTACATTTATGCAGCTAGGGACATGATATTTTGCAATACTTCCACCCATTATCAATAGAAAACTTAGGAACATGAAATTTTGCAGTACTTCCACCCATTATCAACAAAATACTTACAGTGAAAATAACAAAGATCGCGTCACTTTTACATATAGCTCCCATACAACTGATTGTTCAGATATGCGATTTTTTGTTATAACTCCTCCATTTGTGCAGCTGGGAACATCAAACTTCGCAATATTCCCACCCATTATAATAAAAATAGTTACAGTGAAAATAGCGAAGATCGGGTCGCTATAACCTATAGCCTTCATACGAATGATTGTTCAGATATGATATTCTTTGTTATAACTTCTCCATATATGCATCTAGAAACATGAAATCCCGCACTATTTTCACTCATTATCAACAGAAAGTTTACAGTAAAATTAACAAAGATCGGGTCACTATAACATTTATTGCCTCCATAAAACTGATTTGTTCAGATATAGGGCTTTACTGTAAAACTCCTTTGTTTGGACAGCTAAGGTCGATAAATTTCGTAAGCTATTTTATAAATAATAATACAAAGTCTACTGAGAAAATCGGTTTACATACCGATCTCACAGCAGTGAAAATCACTTAGATTGGTGCCATATAAAGTATATCTTCCATACCTCTGATTGTTTAAATATGATTTTTTATATATATATGTATCTCCTCTATCTATGTATGCTGTGAATATATAAATTTTTTCAAATGCAGTAATCTGTTAAAGTTAAATTTTCAGATGTTCATGAAAGGTATTAAGCCTTCGGCATAGCCTGACATTTTTGGTGAGGTACTTAAGCGGGTTTTACTGTATGTACTTATCTAGGCATTCTACATTAGTTTCTCTGTAAGGCATTCTTTGTTCGCTTTTCTGGATTCTCTTTATCCATGCGTTCTCCCTTCGTTCGAAGGTAATGCTGCGGGTAAGGGCTTACGGCCAATGACATGCCCATGTTAAAATAATGCCTTCTTGAAGCGAAAGGGTGAGCGATTCCCATCGCCTAGCTCGTTTCCACTTTCGTTTCTGTAGTAATCGTGTTTTTTGCTGGGTTGCTATTCCCACTGCTATTGACGATGCCAACTTATTAGCAGAGTTATTACACTGATATGCTATTACAAATAGACGATGCTGTTAGTAATAACACGATGCGGCGATGCGGCGACGCCGAGTAACTATGCTACTTTCGCACCGTTGTGTACGTCAGAAGTGTTAGTTAATAACGTACTCTTCCGACACTAACATAACCACGCAGGCCACTGGTTGACAGTTATAATTTCGAGAAAGTAGAGAGCTTCGTTTACTTGGGAACCAGCATTAACACCGATAGTAATCTCAGCCTTGCAATCCAACAGAGAATCAGTCTTGCCAAAGGTGCTACTTTGGGGTGAGTAGGCAATTCAGGTGTTCTTACGCGATATATATTTGCATCTGTAAATGTGACTTTTTCAATACATATGTAATTGCGTATGTCTGTCAAATTCACTGTCTTTATTTAACTATTTAAAAATACGTTCTTTGAAAACGAAATAAACTAAACTCAGATGATTCTATTTGTGTGTCTGAGGAAAATAGAAACAATTCTATTTCGTATGTACGTGCATCTGCTTTGTACAGAAACGAATCTAATTTGCCTTTACACG